AACATAGTGACTTTTTCCACAAAAAAGTCACATTTTCTTTAATATAAATTATTATACCCTTATATTCATAAAAGCATTAAAAATCAAGAAAGAAATATTAAGGTAGTAGGAACATGGTGGAAAATTATTTTACTTTAATAATTTTCATGTTATTGCATTTTTGTGTTTAAAACGGAAAATTGAAAATTTGAGAGCTCTTTCCTGATTTCTTATTTTTATTATTAAATATTTCCAAATCATATTTGTCTACTTTAAAGACTTTGATTAAAATCAACAAGGATCTCTCACATACTTATGTTGACCTTTAAATTGTAGCTCTTAAGGTGGTTCGGAGGAAATGTAACATTCCTGATGAGGCCATAAGAGGTCAAAACTTGATATATAAATAGGAGCATCTGAGCGTTTTGTAAACTTTACTCTTTGATAAATAGCAAAGTCCAGATTAAAAAAAGAAAAAGAAGGGCCTGCCCTGTGGCGCAGCAGGTAAGTGTGTGCTCTGCTTCAGCGGCCCAGGGTTCGGAGGTTGGGATCCCGGGCGCGCACCGACGCATCGCTTGTCAAGCCATGGTGTGGCGGCATCCCATATAAAGTAGAGGAGGATGGGCACGGATGTTAGCCCAGGGCCAATCTTGCTCAGAAAAAAGAGGAGGATTGGCATTGGATGTTAGCTCAGGGCTAATCTCCCCCACACACAAAAAAAAGAAAAAGAAAAGAAACTGAAGCCTCTGAAATTTTATTGTAAATTTTAAATTCCAAACTTGGGAGATTTATTTTCCAGTTTTATTGAGATATAATTGGCATATATCGCTGTATAAGTTTAAGGTGTATAGCGTCATGGTTTGACTTACATATATTGTGAAATGAATACCCCAATAAGTTTAGTTAGCATCCATCCTCTCATATAGATACGACAAAAAAAAGAAAAAAATTTTTTTGCTTGTGATGAGAACTCTTAGGATTTACTCTCTTAACTTTCATTTATATCATATATAAGAGATTTACTTGAGTTTCAATGAGGGTAATAATCCCAGAATGTGTTGAGTTCAGATTTAATTTAATCAAAAACATTAGATTGATTCTGATTCAATTAAATTTTCTCTTTGTTTCTCTCTCTTACCTCCTCCTCACCTTTCTTTTTATAGGTGGTTAAGAAGTGTATTCCTTTTCTAATTGGGCATTTGAAGGATTCAACCCATAATGATGTCATCTTAAACATCCTCATAGAGATAGCAGGCTATGAACCAGAGGCTTTGAACAGTTTTCTTCCAGTGCTGAAAGAGACTGGTGAGAGATTCCCCTATCTCATTGGACAAATGGCGAGAATCTATGGAGCCGTTGGGCATGTAGATGAAGTAAGTTGCACTTTTTCTTCTCCATTTCCCTAAATTCCATTGCACTTAATCCGCTGGAGCTCTAGGACCTACAGATTTGTCCTGGGACTTCTGAGAACTCCTATTTCTCTTCCAAACCTTTTGCATGGACAGTAACCTCTGGGTCAAGGGCACATTGCAGCAGGGTTACATGGAAGGTTCAGGAAGAGAGGATTTCGTTACTTCCTTAGGAGTGTCACCTAAGGAAGGGGAAGGGTTAACATGGAGAGAGCACTATGACATATTCAAGATTGCTTTGTAATAACAACAATCAATAAAAGAGTTTCATCTCATTTCTGGGAACAGCTCTGCTTAACCCAGGAGACCATTAGCCAGCACGGAATGAGGTCTCAGAGACTACCTAGTAACAGGAGCCCATGGCTGGCCTGTTGATAAGCGCCTGCACTTGGGATGTTTTGAGCCCTCTGGATGATGTTAGTTGAGAGAGTGAAATGAACCTTTGTGCATGTATACAAGTTCTAGCCTAAATATTTGCATAATGGAATCTTTCAACAAGACAACAGGATACTATCAGAGTTTGTGAGGATTAGGTGACTAAGAAAGATTTTCCAGAAATTCAGTTTTGAAAGGTGTGTGCACGTGCACACACACGTGCGTGTCTGTCTGATGATTTTATGTTGAGATTTGGGATTTTTGTTTTTTTAAAATAAAAGCAAATCTATCATTGAGAGAGGGAACGTTTTACTTTCACCCACTTACATTTAATATAATTAGCTATAAGATAAATATGAAATTGTACAACTCTTAAAAGGGATTTCATAATTCAAGTTCAACCCCTGATTCCACACAGGAGAAAACTGAAAAGGTTAAGTGACTTATCCAGACTCAGGCTGGGTTAGCTGGTGACGCAGTTGGAATTAGATCTTTGGTATCCGTGGCACTCTTTTCAAATTTTGTCTTAAAATGGGTCTTTGGTTTTGTTTTATTTTGTTTCTGCTGAGAGTTGTGGAGAGCCCCCTGAGTCCCGGCTTCCTCGTGGTGGAGGGCCTTTCTCCTCCAGCTCCCAGAAGCAGGTGGGAGAGCTGAGCTCCCAGGCAGCCTGCACACATCAACGACAGGGTGGATCCTGTAAGAGGATTGCTTTAGTACAGACTGCTGCTTACTAGAATCCCTTTCTATCCACTGCTGTTGGGAATGTCACGCCTCCCTGCCATGATCTGCCTCTGGTCACGCTTTCCCTTGCTGTCACCTCTGCTGCCAGGAGAACCTGCTAGTGAGCCCAAGTGCTTTCAGGCCAACTTCTGCTGACAGCTGGTTGACCGAATCTGCTGACCTTGCAGGTTTTGAATGGACCAGAAAATGCAACCTCTGATGTGCAAGGCCCTGGAATCTTTAAAAAGTGCACTCTTCCTGCACTTTAATGGTACTTCTTTTGCTCACAAATACATTTATGATTCACTAATGTGTAGTAATGCACATTGGAAGTGTATTTAGTCAAATGTCCCAAAGAAAATGTAATCTGTAAAAAAAAACCACTAGCCACATGCAATTATGTCACTATAGGTTTGTCTGAACTAAGGTTAACCTGAGAGAGAATGGTCTATTAGGTGACATTTGTGTGACTCCAGGTGGGTGCAGGGAGAAGGAGAGGGCATCCAACTAGCCTGAGGAATCACTTTTTTCAGAATTAAGAACGTCAAAAGATTCCCTCTCTCTCAATCGCTCATTCTCATGTGCCCATGGAGGCATCTATGTTTGGGGGAGAAAAAATTTTTTCTGGTGCTTCTGATTCACCTGCTCAGCAGAGAACAATTTTAGATCAAATACTTTCCAAATGTATCTGCATATCAGGATTACATGGGGAGCTTTATTAATAATATAAGTTCTTAGTTCCCATAGAATACCTACTAAATCAAAATCTCTAAGAAAGGGACCCAGGAATCTGGATTTATGGGACCCTCTGCCAGAGTAATTCTGCTGCAGCTGTTTGTAGATCAGTATTTGAGATCCCTATATATATTTAAAGCATTTTCTCTCTTAGACTTAGAATCAGGCCTTGTTCATCACCCATCCTGCCTTCCTCCATCAAGTCATTGGTAATCAATTAAAACTTTTCCAGATTGCTGATATAGCAGTTTCGATTAGGTGTGGTTGAGTGTAACACAAAAATTCAAAGCAACAGTGGCTTAAACAAGGATATACATCTCTCTCACACACAAAGAAGTCTAGAAGGCAGTCAGTCGAGAACTCCACGTTGCAGAAACCCAGGCTCCTTCTACTTTGTTGCTCTACCATCCTTGAGCACATCAGAGAGCACATGGCTTCCATCTCATGGGCCAAGATGGCTACTCATCTCCACCCATCAAGTCAGTATTTCAGCCAACAGGAAGGGGAAAGGGGAGGAGGACTCTTCTAGATAGTCAAACACAACCTATTGTTTATATCCCGTTGAACAAAGCTGTATATGACTATACCTAGCTGCTACGGAGGCTGGAACCTGTAATCTGGATTCCGGTGGCCACATACCCAGCTAATCAAGAGAGAGAGGCAGAAAGAATGACGGAGGACAAACAATGTCTTTGTTGCAGTTCATCAAGTCATTTCAGTTCTCTGGGTCTGTTTTCTCTCCTCAAAAATAACACCTTTGCACTGGATTACCTCCCTTCTGGCTCTGATCTTCTTTGATTCCATTATTCCATTTCACTGAGGATCAGCCTAACAAAATTACCTATGTCAGTCAGGCTCCTTTACTCAGAAATAATGCCCCTTCTTGTTGTTTCTAATGCCTTCTTTTAGCTTTAAAGAATGCTGAAGCTCAGATGTCCCACGAAAAAGCATAGTAGTCTAAGCAGCTATTAACTGCTTAATTTGAGTGAACCTGTTCAATTTGCTAAAAAATCTTGTGAAGCCATATTCCTAAAGATCAAACCAACAGGCAAGATAAATTTCTACTCAGCCTCTTTCCAAAAGGAAACAGGACATTACTGATGTACATTGTGAGGTGGGTATGAGGGCAGAAATGGAGTGTGGGGTCCTGGGCACCTACAGGAGAGGAAATTGCTATACAGAGGGAGCAACAGGAACTTTGCCCTGGAAAGGCCCCAGTGCTCTGTGTGTGGAAAGCTTGGTCCGTGGGGAGATAAAGGGACATGGGACTATATGAGACATGGAAATGCTTAGGGTGTTGATGATAAGGCAGCCACAGGACCCTAGTGACCTCAGGCCCTAGGATCTTCTCTCTCAAACTATCCTGGTCTCATTTAAAAAATGACTTAATTTAAACATTTTATTTTGACACTAAAGTAAAATTTTCAGACGTATTCAGGAGTTCCAAGTATCAGATGATTTCGTTGCTAGGATTTAAGAGATTTGGGAAATGCCGAAAAGCCAATTCAACTTTGAGTATCTTGCTCCAACTTTTTGAAATGCACAGTCTGGAACTAATTGGAGCCTACTGTTCCATCCTTCCCTTGTTGCCTGGCTTCTGGCAAACCGCACTGTTTGATCCTTAGGAGGAAGAGAGGAGTCTTCTGGAGGTAGGCAGTCCTCAGGCCCGGGACAGCCTCCGGGGTAGCATTAGCCCAGAATCAATTGCACAAGTTGTTAATCGACTTATGCCTCACCTTCCGTGCTTGCTTGCAGCCAGGTGTAAGAACTGCAGGACTGGCTACGGGGATCCAGATCAGGTGCGCCTGTCTTTCAAATCAGGGCCCATCTGGATGGGCCAACTGTTTTCAACAGCTTAACAGGAGCATCAGAATTCTTCCTGGGTCTGCATGGACCCAGCAGAGGAGAGTTGTATATATAAAACAAAAAATAAAACCTTCAGATTCTTATTTTCTCTATCTCCCATATTATCTTAGGGATCTTTTTTTGCCCAAATTTAAATGAAACCATGCTTAATGGCCTCATAGTGCTGTGTGACTATAGGAGGCTATACAGTGACTTGCAAGCCATTTTCAGGCGTGTACTGGCATCCAAACCACATCCATTGGATGGAGAGTGAAACTGGGAGGACCAAAGGGTGGAGAAACGCCTTCTGGGGCACCTGATGAGTTGTTGTCCCTGAGGACGCCTTCCCTGGCACTGTCCAGTGAAAGACGCAGCTGGTTCTTCATCGGGATTCACCCCACTTCTGTGGTATGCTTAGTGGAAGCACATGCATAAATGAGAAATATTATTTTATTAGAAATGTCCCGGGCCGGCCCCATGGCTTAGCGGTTAAGTGCGCGCGCTCCGCTGCTGGCGGCCAGGGTTCGGATCCCGGGCGCGCACCAACGCACCGCTTCTCCGGCCATGCTGAGGCCGTGTCCCACATACAGCAACTAGAAGGATGTGCAGCTGTGACATACAACTATCCGCTGGGGCTTTGGAGGGAAAAAAATAAATAAATAAAAATTAAAAAAAAAAAAAGAAATGTCCTCAACGTGGCAAAAAGACACAGGCCCTTTTGTCTTTCTCACATGAGAAGATTGCAGACAACAGCAGAAATGACATCTTAGTAGCTCCTAATGAAGGGTCCATCCGCAAATATACAACAAGATCATTCATATAAAGCCCTTAGCACAGTGCCTGGCATATAGTAAGTGCTTGAGGCATTTCAACTAATAATAATAACAACAACAGCAGCAGCAGCAGCAGCAATATAATAAAAACCTGCATAGCTGGAGAAGGCTAATGAGAGAGGAATGTGCTTCTTTCCCCTCTAATGCATCTCTTATAGTTACCAGTTTTCTTCCTAAAAGTATATGTGTGATGCTTCTTCCTTGCACACATCTTCTGCTGGCTCATCTATTGCCCACAGAGAACCATCTAAACTCCTTGGCTTGGCCTCAGCCTCCTCTCTAGCCTTAACTCTTACCTGTCCAGGCTATTCCGTCCCTCTACATTCTGTCTACTAGCATTTTACACCCTTCCCTGAGCACACCTGCTCTGACCTACATCATGATCTTCAGCCTATTCTTTTGCCTGGATAGTCCCTACCCCTTCTCCTACTTATCTTTCCTCCTGTGTCGCCTCCTGTGTAAGACTTCCCAGTTCCCTTAGGCAGTTGGTCACCTCCCTCTAGACTTTCCCTGCATTTTGGTTCTATCTCAAATGTCATACCGACTTGCCATGTTGTAATTTGCCTGTCCATGTCAATTTCTTCTCCATAAGTCTCTGAACTCCCGGAGGAAAGGAATCATACCTTATCCATCCGAATTCACCTGTGGCCAGAAGAGTGAATGAATACTTGAGAGTACTGTTAATTAAAAATTTGAAGGTTGGATTCTCACTAGCCACTTTCATTCAATCAAGTCTCTGTCTAATTCTTCTAGGTAACATAATAATAACTTAAGAGAAAGGAGAAGAAAATATTAAGAGAGAGAGGGCTGTTGATACTTCAGAGCCTACACAATTTATCTCTGATATCTAACAGATGAAAGATAAGGATAAGTTTGACAGGAGACATGGGGTCAATAACCAGAAAGTATGTGATGGGACATATCCATCTATGATTCCAAAAGATCTTGGCTCCTTGGTAGGTGACTTAAGAGAAAGATGACACTGAGCGGATCATGAAAAGAGGTTTTCATATATGAGGGCTCAGCAGGCAGCAAACTGGTTCAAGGGCAGCTCCACAGAGCATCATTCACCACCTATACCGAGCAGTGGTGACCGCCCGGGATATGTCTGTGTAAAGATCCACCACGTGAATGATTGTGCTCACCGTGGGGACATCCATACAGTACAACATGGCGACTAAGAGGGTGGGCTCAAGAGTCAGACTGCCCTGGTGTGAATCTTGACTCAGCCACTTACCAGATGTGCGGCCTTGGGCAAGTTACATCACCTCTTTGACTCTGTTTCCTCATCTGTAAAGTGGGAATAGCAATATTATTCACATAGGTTTGTTGTGAGGATTTAATGAGTTAAACCATGTAGAACAGTGTCCGGCAAATGGTAAACGTTCAATATATGTCAGCACTTTAATGTATTACTCCCTCAGTGTTGCCCAAGGCTTTCTCATTGCATTTATTTGGACAGAAACTGAATCTTAAGCCTAAACAGACTGAAATTAGGGAGGACAGCAACCAGGTAAATGGCTCGCCTCTTCCCTGCTTCTCTGAGGAAAGAGGAGGGGGCATGGATGAATGAATAGATGGATATGCGTGCGACAAGTCAAAATAAGGACAGACAGAAAGGGAATGAGGTACCATAGATGACGGCATGCTTCAGTAAAGGGGTAAAGCAGACTGGCTATCTCTTTTTTCTTTTTGGGAAATAACTGGTATATGTAGATTTTTTTCTCAGAGTGGAATGTCTATCTGCTTTATATTTATATTGCAGACCATTATTGCTGAGGGGAATAAGAGTAACAAAAACAATAATAAAGCCACATTTTGTAAACATTTTATAATTTAAAATAGGCCTTGTTTCCTTGGGGCCACTGGAAGTGCATTGCTTTCCATAAAGAGCAGGTGGTCCCCAGCTCCCCACCTATAGAAACAGCTCAGATAAGTTTGCAGCAATTTCTTTATATGCTCTCATTAACTAAATCTGAAGTGGTTTAAATTAAACCCAGGCTAGATTGACTCTTCTTGTCCATGGAGAACCGAAATAGAATGTTTCAATTCCAGACTCTTTTCTTTCTTTCATTTTCTTTACTCACTAGATTCTCTCGGCCATGCAAGTGGTCTCAGCCCACGTGACTGGGTATCGGGGTTATTATAGCCGTCTTTGCTAACATGAGTCAACATGGAAGAGAGACTCCTTCAGGAATAGCTTTGATTTTTTTGAGAGGCCAAATTGAATTCATCTGTCCATCTACTTAAGTCTCAAATATATGGACTGAAACAATTTTAGTTTAATAGTCAGATCCTCATTAGGATCTAGCCTTATTAGAAGGCACTGGTACGCAGCACACAATCCACAGCCGTGTTTCCCCCATGCCAGACCTACAAGGCAGGAGACCCATGTGGTGGAAACAGAGATGAGATGCTTTAAATGCCATTTGCAGAAGTCTCATTGCCCGTGGAAGGATGCTATGGCAGTTGTTTTCCTTAGCTGGAGACCAACAATCTGCACCTGTGGAGAGCCACATGGCGTGCCCTCCAGCGCAGCCGCTGCCACAGTGGGTGTTAAATCCTGTGCCCTCTGCCTTGTTTTTCTCACCGGCTGGAATATGCTCGCCAAGCACCAGGGCGTGTTTATTGCATCCTCTCTGGGCTCAGAGTCCTGGATACTTTTCAAGTAAAGAAACGACACCCATCTTGCCCAGGTCGCGTTTCTGTGACATGCGGCAGGCCTTCCACAAAAACACTTTCAGGAGGAAAAGGAAAAGAATGACAAAGGCAACTGAGAACACATTCCTGTCCTCACCCTGACTGGAAAAACATCCTGTGAAATAGGAACTGGATGGACGATTTGCGCCTTTAACTTGCAAATCAAGACCAAAGGATCTGGGGCCATTCTACAAGAGGAAGGACCTGTGACTTAAAAACCACAATTTCCCAACGATGGTGAAGTGAGTTCAAGCTTTGGTGGACTCAGTGACTTCAGGGACTGGTTTTCTCAAGCCTTGGTTTGTGCCAGCGGGCTGCTACTTCGTACTACAGAATTGTCGTCAATTAGGGAAGATTTCTTTTTCTAAAATGAAAATAGCTTTATTGTTTTTTGTATTTTAAAAATGTTACATGCTAATTGTAAATAATATTAACAATAAACCTCTTGCAGAGTGTAAAGAAAACAAAAACAAAAAAACTTGGAGCATATTCAAAATATGCTTTCAAATAACAGTGCTGATCTTCCATCTCCTCCCTCCCTCAATGATACAGAGTTGAGCTGCTGATTCTTTCTGAGTGCAAGAGCCGGTGCGGGTGATGGAGACATGGAGAGAAAGACATGCTCTCTGCCCTAGAGGGGCTCACAGTGAGTGGGGGTGAAGGAGACGTACAAACAGATGATTCGAGTTTAATTTGGTGCCTGTTACTACTGAATTCTGAACCAGATCAAGAAGGAAGCAGCTAACTTTGCACGGGGAAGTTTGAGAGAGTGTTATAAGCTTGGCTTTTCGGGTGACAGGATTATGTCAGTGGAGGAGGAGGAAGGTGTCCCCCAGAGGACACAGCACGTGCAATAGCAAGCAGCTAGGCAAAGACCTTGAGTCTCCTGGAAACCCTGAAGTGTTTCAAGTGCCTGGAGCATTGAATGAACAATGGAGGAGCGGGAGAGACACGAGGCTGGATGGTAGACTGGGGCCAGATTGTGAAAACCCCTCAATGATTAGCTGATATTCCTGTCTTCTACCTTCTCTCTCCAAACTTAGTCATCACCCATGCACAGGTGTCCTTGGGATGATATTTGGTTTCCCTTCATCTTACAGACAAGTAAAGGAATACCGTGTACCTCAGAGTTCCCAAGAAACCAAAGAGCCTGGTAAAAGGACAAACAGTGCCCACAAATGGTTGCAAGCATAGAGTAGTAAATAATAGTTACAAAAGTTACATGTTGCAACAGTTTTCAACAATGTCTTGTAATTATTCAACTGTAATTTAGGCCAATCGAACAAAATCCACAGAGGGCCCTCATTTGCTCTGTGAGCAGGGCAGCTTGGCAAACCCTGCGATGCGGCAGGAGAGCCTAGAAGAGGCCTCTGCCTGACCAGTCTCCCCTCAGGATTGAGTCCCAAGACGGTGAGCTTGGTCCACACAGATCTGATCTCCTCCCTTCAGAGGGGGACCATCTGACTCTCTTAACACACTAGGATCTATGAGGAAGGAGGCTAGTGTGTTTGCCCGAAGAAAAGCAGAAAGCTTCCACTGAGTGACTGCCCCTTCCAGCCTTGAGCTCAAGAGTGGATAAATCCTGGATTCACACGAAAGGACAACTGGGCATTGGCAGCAAGCGGATTGAGAGGATGAAGCACTTGCTGATTCCAGCTCCAGCCCTGCTGCCCTTTTTAGACTGCAGCAGTCCTTTCCCGGCCCTAGCCCTCAGACTGAAATCACTTCAGCTTAACCAGCTACTTCCAACTGTCAGCACCTGCATTTCTTTGCCTGTGGCTTTCCCCACCTTCACAAGCCACTCTGCTAACACGCAGGGTAGGGTAGACATGCGAGGAATTAATGCTACCCCAGCAGCCCTCCACCAATGATAGGCCTTGGGGTTCACTCCCCAAAGGAGACAAACTTTCCCCAGAATTCCAGCCACCCTTTCTGAGCTACTTCCCTTCTCTGTCTCACTCTTCTACTCCCCTGCTGGTCTCCTACAGTTTCCAGAGAGATGATTTGACTTAAATCATCTCAGGGTCTGTCTGCTTTGGGGGAGCCGAATCCAAGGAAAAGGCATATCCACACCTCCCCAGGCCATTGCGATCTCCCTGTGCTCTGAACACTTGAGAGTGTACATCTGTAACATGGGAGCATCTTCTGGTTGCATGTGCTTTCTGTTCACTTAGTGTGTGAATACACACTCTCCCAACACTCTAAGCACTCTGAAGGAAGGAACCATACCTTACACTTCCTTGTGCCCCCTGCACTACCCATCCCAGTAATGGGCTCATAGCAGGTGGCCCACAGATGCTTGCTGACTGTTCTGTGGAGACTGGAACATGACTGAGCATCAGTGCCTTGTACTAGTAAGTGGCAGCTGATGACAGGGCAGGTTGTGTTTGTGGATGGCCAGGAAAACCATAGATATTGGGTTCCAGTCATATGCGTTGGCTACTGGTTTTCAGGATCTGTCAGTCTGCTTCCAGTGTGGGGGCCAAAGTGTGGTCCCCAGACCAGCAGTATTGGGCATTAGCTGGGAAGTGGAATCAGAATCTACAGTTTAACAAGATCCCCAGGTGATGTGTATGCTCATGCAAGTGTAAGAGGCACTGGTCTCAAGGATCCAGCCCCTGTGGGGTTTATCTGCTGTAGTATCCTCCAGGGATTTATTTATCAAAAAATTTAAGCCTAGATTTATTTTGCAGTGAGTAGGAGTTGCGAATT